ACCTGCCCAAGATTGTGCCGTCTTCAGACGCCAAAGCTTACGGAGCACTGGCATCTGGAATACTTGCTGGCGTTCCGATTATGGGCTGCCTTGGCGACCAGTCCTCGGCGCTTGTAGGGCAAAAGGGCTTTTCGCCAGGAATGGCGAAGAACACCTACGGAACGGGCTGCTTCCTTCTATATAATGTTGGAGAAAAGCCAGTCATCTCCAAGCATGGACTTCTTGCTACTGTGGCATACCACTTCGATGGCAAGCCGGTGTACGCCCTTGAGGGCAGCATTGCAGTCGCCGGATCTGGCATCAAATTCCTACAAAATAACTTGAACTTTTTCCAAGAGTCCAAGGAAGTGAACGATTTGGCTCAGACGGTAGAAGACAGTGGAGGCTGTGTGTTTGTCACTGCGTTCAGTGGTCTTTATGCGCCTTACTGGATTGACGATGCAAAGGGGACAATGTGTAAGGCAATTAGGGTTAAAGCTCCTTTTGATCGGCGCTGACTTCCAGCGGCAGTTGGTATTACACAGTACACCCAAAAGGGCCACATTGCCCGGGCGACGCTAGAGGCCACCTGCTTTCAGACCAAGGCCATCTTGGACGCAATGGAGAAAGACAGTGGACATGCGCTGTCAGAATTGGCGGTTGATGGTGGCATGAGCAACTCAGACCTTGCGATGCAGGTACAGAGCATGAGCCCTTCTACATTCAGTTCTCGAAACTAATATCCCACCAGGTCCAAGCAGATCTCATCTCGATCCCGGTGTATCGCCCCAAGATGCGGGAAACCACTGCACTTGGTGCGGCTATAGCCGCTGGTCTGGCGGTAGGGGTGTGGAGAAATTTCGCTGAACTGCGAGACATTAACCGGGCCGGAGGAGCCGTCTTTGAGCCCAAGATCAGTCGCGAAGAAAGCGCCAAGTCATTCGCCAGATGGGAAAAGGCCGTCGCAATGTGCAAAGGCTGGTCTGGAGATGAGCCACCACCTCCAGTGCAACCTGCTCAGAAGGAGATGAAGAAAAACGCTCCTGAGGTTGTAACGAACCACAACGCTGTCAACGTTACGCCTGCGAAGCTCAACGGAGAGCTTACCACACCCAAATTCCCATTGATAAGTATCTCTGGAGACTTGGATGATGCCGACGAGGAGGACCTTTATCTGGAGCTGCGAAAAATCGAGATCCTGCAGCGACTCAAGAAACTCCGGAAACTCAAGCTTTCTTTCTACTGAGCGTCTCATGCTTCCATGTCTAGCGTTCTCTTTGGGATCTGTACCTGTACATGTTCATATTACGGTCGTGACGAATTAACGAAGTATATATTTTTTTTCTGGAAGAAGCGAGGCTTACTGGACCATTATTGCTATGCACATCCTGTTGAATGCACTCAAACCACAGCTAAAAGGGTGTCAAGACCACCATTTCTAGCTAGCAGAAATAATATGCTGCAGCATATATCTAAGACATCCCTGTACATTTGCCTGAAGTGGTTTCTGTGTCGCACAACCACACCACCGCCTCTGCTGACGTGGGATTCCAGGCCTCAACTGACCCCTCTGGCTCTTGCTCCTTTTTTCTTTTTTCCTGAGAGGCATAGATATCGCTATCTCGTGCTGCTGATTGTTTGAGCATTGCTGCATTCTTTGGCCTTCGCAGGTATCAGCTCTGCTTAGATCAACGATATACAGTCTAGTGCTGCATAGAGAAACCTATCTGGTTGCGGGTAAAAGAAGTACCAGAGCTCGTGCTCAATTTCTGTGCTTTGTATGTATGGGATTCGTTTCGTAGGATATAGTGTGTGCTATGTCTATGTCCATAAAATTCATGCAAATGCGATATTATAAATCCAAAAAAGAAGAGTGGAAGTGAACTCAATCCTCCTTCAACGGTAAAATATCCTCGCCCTCTCTCACGAAAACACAATTCATTTCCGAACCAGGGCTAAGCGTAACCTCAAACTTCAGTACCGGGTCCTCGACCCGCTCCTTCCCATTGGCCGGCATAGCCTGGATCCTCTCAAAGGCCTGCAGGATCCTCACCACGGTGTAGCCCATCTCAATGGTAGCAAACTGCTGACCGAGGCAGATCCTCGGCCCCCCGTTGAAGGGGATATACTGCCAGGGTTTGGGCTGCCACCCGGACAGCCACCGGTCGGGCAACCATTTCTCCGGATCGAAGTAGTTCGGCGAGCCCGGCGGGTCGTAGTTCTCTGCGCTTCGCTGCATGATCATCGTCGAGTAGATGACGCGCGTGTTGGCGCGGACGCCGACTGGCGAGAGGCCGTCGGGCCCGCCACCGCGCGGCAGTGTCGTGTCACGGAGGGAATAGCGGACGTTGAAGGGAACGGGGGGGTAGAGGCGCGTGGTCTCGTTGAGGACGGCGTTCAGGTACTTCATCTCCTTGAGGTCGTTGTAGCTGGGTTTCTGGGCCGAGGGGCCGAGACCCAGTCGGGCGCTGATCTCCTTGCGCAGTTTGGCGACGACGTCGGGGTTGCGGGCTAGCTCAAAGACACAGAAGGAGAGGACTGCGGCTGTGGTGTCGCGGCCGGCGAGGAGAACGGCGACGATCTGGTCACGGAGGACGCGGGGGTCGCGAGTGAATCGGGCTAGGGCGTCCAGGAAGGTTTCTCGCTTGGAGATCTTCTGGTCGAGTTCCGAGGGTGTTAGAGAGAGGGCTCGTTTGATGTATGGTTGGATGAAGTCGTCCATCACTTTGAGTTCCCGGTGAAATTTCCTCTTCGTCACGATGAAGTTGAACATGCTGATTCCATCACTAGTGTTAGTCACCACACTTCACTCGTTCGCCGAATGGCAAAGAAGCTTACCCTAGACGAAAGATCTCGGACTGACGATGCTTCACATATCCGAAGGCCTCTGCGAATCTGGTCTCCGGATTGTGCAGACTGTTTGTGCCCTGGCCGAGGAGATAATCCGTGGCTGCGTCCAGGGTGAAGCGGAAAAACAGAGAACCAACATCAACGACTTTGCTCCCACTGGGCGAGTTGCTTCCTTCCAATAGAGGAATCAAGTTTTGGACGTGTTTCTCAAAGATTTCAGTGTCGACGATGCGATCCCGGACAAACATTGGTCGGATGAGATGGCGTGAACGGGACCAGAGCTCACCATCCGTGGCGAAGATACTGTCACCTAGAAAGTCTTTCCATTGTTCATGAAATTCCTCGCCTTTACCATAATCGGCAAATTGTCCCGTGAGAATAGCCTTGATGTTCTCAGGGTCTTTGGTCAGAATGACCCGACGCGTGATACCTCCATTAAGCTCGGCGGTTTTGACGCAGTCAAGCTGGGCGGCTCCTTTCGCGTTCAGGATCGCTTGATGCAGAAATTCGTGGTCTGTACCGTCGCCGTTGGCCTTGGATGCTCCGTAAAGGAAATCAATTGCTGTTTGAACTGTCAGCCCTGCTCGCGTCACCCGGAAAGCTCCTTGACTGTTTGCGACAACCTACCCCACGGCAGGCAGAAACGGATTCTCGGGGCTCTGTAACCCAGCTTCGAGATTTCCTTCGACACCTGTGCCCTACGGATCAAGCAAGCAAAGACCAAAGCCCCCAAGACATAGAGAACTGCCCGCCCCGGATGTATCTGAGCAAGGAGTTCCTCGATCATCTTGGCAAGTTGCTGCGTCGCCGATTTTCAAATATTGCACATATGAATCACGCAAGTCATCTGTTGAGGAAAACCAGGGAACACAGAGTATATACTGAAATATGCAACCTTTTCATGCAGACAAGTCACCTGCTGCGAAAAACAGGGAAGACAGACTGTATATATGCAACCGGTTCATGCAAGATCATATTCATACGTCAAACTAGCTGCGCCCGAGACAGAGGTAGCTGGGACACAGTCCCTCGGAGATAGACCGCCAGTTCACGACGTGCATACAAACCTCAACGCAATACAGAACCAGACAAGCGACGTGATGTTGGGAAAGTAAGCTCAATGGACCTGGAGAGCGCGTTGATCGAAGGCCACCCATGTGTGGATAGTTATAGCAGACTAATGAGTCAACGACCGCTAAGGTAGTCTTTTGCCTCCCCACCAGCCCGCAAACGGGCAGTCGAGCCTCAATTGACGTCTATCCACTTTCAGGTGCACCTCAGTATGCTTGCAAACACCCCCTTGCATAACATTCGACTATTGCCTACGTAGTTAGTTTCCTGACCTTGGTGGCGGTTTTTAAAATACATGCTAATAAGTGCGATCATAAGCAGGAATCTCGATTGTCTGATACCTCATATGCCGCATGCGGTAAGGATATTGGCTGTCATTGCCATAATGGAATCAATCTAGCTGGAGCACCGGATAATAATGGGCCCCAAGGCGATACTCAATATAAATAAATTATGCTTCAAATGGGATATCCAGGAGCCCTTCACCAAAAGTTTGTTCAAAGGGTCATCTCGTTGCTTCATCGAGGCATACCGGTCTACCGGATCCTATCAAGGAAGAGAGGATTGATGAAAGATGGTCACGGTCCTGAAAGGCGTGGAGCTCGGAGAATTTGACTGAATCTCATTTTCATCTGAAAGACGGTATTTCGACCATATACAAGCCAGAGTCCCCCAGTTGTGCCCATGGAGTTGGAGCATATAGAGAGAGGTACTCGGAAGTGACAGCCGATTAAAGCAGCGAGGCAATAGGGCAACAAAAAAAGGCACCAAAGGAGTATGTAAGCATCGTTTGTCATGTCGCCAAGCCTCAGTGCACGTGATTATGTGGCTGATGAAATCAGCTTGGCATCTTGCCTCATCACCCAAAAGTCTCGTAGGATACTCCCAAAACAAGCGACTCGTGCTCCTCCTTCTTTGACCCTTCTTTACCGAGAAAATCAATTTTGCATAGGCTGCGATTTGTACTTGGTTCTTCTTGCCATAGGAGAAGCAGATTTTGTTGCGATAGTACCCCCCTTTGAACGGGTGGCGCGGGACCTATCATTGTACGGCCGTCTATCCTTTGCAACGATCGCATTCAACACCACGCGCTCGTCACAATGACCACAGAAATCGCGGCTGGTACCCCTCTGGCGGAGGCCTTGAGCAATGCTATCCAGCCCAAACTCGCGGAAATGGGCTGGACCTCCGATGGCGGCGATGATTCAGCTTTGATTGAATACATTATCCTGATGCTAGTCAACGGCAAAAGTCAAGAACAGATCGCAGACGAACTTTCCAATGATTTGCTCGGCCTTGGCAGTGAAGGAGATACACAAGCTTTGGAGTTTTCAAGATGGCTCTTTGAACAGGTCGAAGTCCTTAATCGACAGATCAACGGCGGTGGCGCACCGGTCGCAAACGAGACGGCACAGGCTATCCCGTCGTTCAACGACCAAACAGCGACTTCGCAAGAGGGTAATGGAGGAGGAGATCAGGATGCCACTATGAACATGGTTGATGGCTCGCACACGGATGATTCGATGTGGGTTCCCGCTCCAAGGCACACGTCACGGACTTTAGCTAACAATGATGGACTCAGACCTACAGGACCGAAGGCGATGCGTGGCGGCCGCCAAGCTGGGAGGGGTCGAATGTTGAACCAGATCAACAGAGCTTTAGATCGCAACAGTGACTCAACTTTACACCGTGTCCGCGGTCAACATGGCCGGATCAATTCTCATGGTCGGGACCACACCAAAGGACGGCCTCATCAGAACGGCGGGGGTAGGCGGCAAATGAATAATGGACTGCCCATGGGTGCCGCCCAATCAATGATGAACATGAGCCCGCAAGATCAGATGCACTTGATGTCGCTGCTAGAGGAACAAGCTCGGATGATGGCGCAGCTCATGCCGGGATTTGTCTCACCTGCGATCAACCCGGCATTTCAACAAAACAACCAACAGCAACAAGGACGCTCCTTGTTCGACCGTGTTGAGCGTCAAGGACGTCCACATGGTAACTCTTCTAATCGTGCCCAGCACCATGGCGTCTCAGCAAAACCACCCTCCGACGGCGACATGGATACCAAGCCTGATGGCGCACAGGATGAGAGTAATAACGACAGTGTCTGCCGCTTCAATCTTCGCTGTACCAGAAAAGACTGCCCCTTTGCGCACCAGTCACCAGCTGCGCCGGAAGGTACTCCTGTGGACGTGGCCGACATATGCACATACGGCGCCGCATGCAAAAACCGGAAATGTACAGGACGCCATCCTTCTCCCGCCGTCAAGTCCGCACACCAGGCCGAGGAGCTCTGCAAGTTCTTCCCCCATTGTACCAACCCTCACTGCTCCTTCAAACATCCCTCAATGCCTCTGTGCCGCAACGGGGCCGACTGCACTGCGGAAGGTTGCAAATTCACCCATCTTCAAACGCCTTGCAAATTTAACCCATGCCTCAACCCAAACTGTCCTTACAAGCATGCGGAAGGCCAGAAAGGTGCCTTTCCGGACAAAGTTTGGACTGCGGATCAGAACAAGCCCCGTGTCAGCGAGAGGAAGTTTGTTTCAGATGAGGATGTTGCTGAAGAGCTGATCAAGCCGGGTGCTGCAAGCGAGGATGGTAATCAGAACCAGGAAATCATAACGTGATACCTCGGCGAACGCTGCGATATCTTCTAATTGCGAACGGCCATACACCGGGCCTCAGTTGAACCTAGAACCTTGCTTCAAATCATATTTGTCCAAACTTGATTCTCATGTATTATTCTCATTTGTGGACGATGGCTGGCTGGAAGGGCGTTTGTCGATTTTCTCACCGATTCATGGGAGCAGTTTAATGACAGAACATCATCATGTTGGCTTGTAAATAGAATTTGGGTATTCATGAACGGGTTCAAAATGCTTCATACCTGAATTCTCTTCTATCAATGAGCAACTGTAGCCGTACCTCTCAAAGAAATATTCGACAAGATTGAGTAATGTCGGTTGTACTGAGGATTACCATACTTACTGGTAATTTACCGCCGGGGGTCGGAAGTTGGAGATGTCCTCTTGCATGATCGTGCCTCACTCAATCATGCTGTTCCTTCATCTTCCCTTCGATAGTCTTCCCTATACACCATCACTGAGATGCGACTGCCATGTGCCCCTAGCCGTGCACTGAGGGCAGCGCGGACGCCATTGGCGTTCGCCCGCAATGGCCAGAAGCACTCACTGCATACCGGCACCTACAACGCCGCGGTTATAGGAGGTGGCATCACAGGTCTCGCGACGGCCTTCCGTTTGTCGCAGGACCCAAAATGCACTAAGATCACCCTGTACGAGAAGCAACAGCGAGTCGGGGGCTGGATGATGTCGGAGACCGTCCCTGTCGGCGACAATGATGGGAAAGTTGTATTCGAATATGGGCCAAGGACCCTGCGGGCTGCGACTCCCGCGTGTCTCCCACTTCTTGACTTGGTACGGGAAAAACATACTCCTCTGGTAGTTATCCGGATAGCTAACCCGTTGTTGTTTTTGTCTTGCAGCTGGTCGAGCTAGAATTACTCGAGGATGTGTTGATCACGGCCAAGTCGTCCCCCGCGGCCCAAAACCGCTACATTTACTACCCCGATCACCTTGTTCGCATGCCTGGTCGCGATCCCAGCCGTAGCCGGTTCTCCGACCTCTACTCGAACTTTCGGACGTTGCTTACGGAGCCTGTCTTTGACAAACTCGTGCGAAGTGTTGTGACGGAGCCAGCGAGGCTGCCCCCGGGGCCCAAGTCTGTTGACTCCGACGAGTCTGTGAGAGACTTTATTTCTCGGCGATTTGCCCCCGAGGTCGCAGATAACATAGTCTCGGCCGTGTATCATGGTATCTACGCCGGCGATATTGACCGGCTGAGTGCGCAGACCCTGCTGGGAACCTACAGGGACCTTGAGCAAGATGACCGCCGCGTACTTGGGGGCCTTATACATGCAGCCACCTCGGATATCACGTACAATCTGATGGATGATTGGCTGGCGCTGCACTCGCTGGCTGCGACAAAGCAGAAGAGCTATTGGAGTAGTTTGAAGACGCTGGTCAGAGACGCCAGTGTTATCACCTTCAAAAACGGCGTGCAGCAGCTTACTGATGCCTTGGCTGCGGCATTGCGCAAGTCCACGAAAGTGGAGTTGTTGACTGGTACAGAGGTGAAGGCTATCAGCACGAATCCTGTGAACTCCGATCTGACCGTAAGTGTAACTCTTCTGAGTGAAAGGTAACTACATAATTTCATCGCTGATATGCTTGTCACAGATCCACTTCGGAGAGAGGAAATCGAATACCCATAACCGCGTGGTTGCAACGAACCCGCCGCCCAACCTGGCGCAGCAGTTGGCCAAGCCTACAATGTCGGGACAGAAGCTGCCTCAAAACTCGATTCGCCAATTGCAAGAACACAACTACGCCGTGAGTGTGATGGTTGTCAACATTCTGTATGAGAATCCCAATCTACTCCCTGTCAACGGATTCGGCTACTTGATCCCGCAGTCGGTTCCGTTCGAACAGAATCCCGAGATGGCCTTAGGTGTGATCTTCGGTTCCGACTCTAGTGTAGGTCAGGACACTGTGCCTTGCACCAAGCTCACCGTCATGCTGGGTGGGCACTATTGGGATGACTGGAAGACGTCAGATTACCCAGACCCGGATACCGCCATTGGGATGTGCCAAACCCTGCTCCATAGACATCTTGGCATCAGCGAGCGGCCTCTTCAGGCTGCTGTCAAACTGCAACGTCAAGCTATTCCCCAGTACACGGTCGGTCATCTGTCGCGCATGCGGGACCTTTCACAAACAGTGCGCCAGGATTTCAATAATCGGTTGACCCTGGCTGGCAATTGGTATAATGGCGTGGGGGTGACGGATTGTGTTCGGCAGGCGTACATGGCCGCGTCGTACGGCGTTGGAGCACTTAAGCTTGAAGCACCGAGCAGTGATGTGCCCTGGATTAGGTACAACTGGCAGGGCTGGGAATTAGAGGGCGGTATACCGACCTCTCCTGTGCGAACGACCGAAACTTATAGGTCGGAACGTAATTATTTTTTCTAGTTAGTGGTGGAGCAGCACCTTGCCCTTGCATAATTGTACAATATGCGCTATCTTGCAATTAGAAAGAATAATGGAATGACCATTGAATGCACTAAAATCTTTCCTAGTCTGTAGTTTGATGACTATCGGGCATTCGAACACATTGGTACGGATGTATGGGTGATCTGCGGACGAGTTAATTTGAGATAATCACTCTTCATCTTTGACCATACCGGCCCAGCATAGTTCGAGTTTGTTCAATTGACACTGATTCGGACGAGGACGCGTTGTCGTCGTCTTGTCCATAATCCCTCCTCGAATCGGTGATGGACGTACGGCGCCTGGGAGACGAGGCTGTCGTTGCTGCCCGAGATTCGACACTTGTAATCACGGCCATATACATATGTCCAGCAGCCATGTATGATAGCATATTGAGAGAAGACTCTGTAGCGATTCGAGAGTTAAGATGTCGAGCGCTGCTGAAATACTCGAACAATAGTGCGCAGTCCGTTCTGTTGATTCAGAAGCATGTTGCTCACAATTTCGTTCAGGCACCCTCCTTCTCCTTCTCCTTCTCTTTCTCTTTCTCTTCAGTAGAATCCTTCTTGTCGCCATTAGCATCAAAGCCCAGGGCATCAAGCTGACGAATCAACTCCTGGATCTTGATCACTTTCTCCAACTGCTCGGGCAGCAGCGCCTCGCCCTGGTTCTTCTTGTCCCGCAGATCGCGGGCCTGTCTGAGCTTCTTCTTCAGGTTCCGTGCTTTCTTCTCCTTCTCCGCTTCAGGATCGACTTCCGGCTGCGCTTCAGCGGTCGAATCTTTCTTCTCAGCAGCAGACGCACCCGAACGCCAGTTCTCTAGATCCCGCACACTCTGTCCATTGGCCTGAGTCGAAGTCGAAGCGGACTCGGATTCCTGCGCCGCCTTGGCCTTTTTCTTTGCCTCTCGCCGCTTCGCGTTCTTGTTGCTGGCTGCTGTGTTGGCTTTGTTTTCGCTCGCCTCGGTCAATCCCTCGGCGCCTGGAACCCCGCCAGAACCACGGTTTCGCCAAGCCGCTGCGGCACGGTTCTTGTACAGCTCGACATCTTCCGGGGGACGGTAACCTGGTCGAACTTTGATCTCGCGACGCTTGGAACCGTCTGGGCGGACTGAAGAGGGGATGTAACGTTCCCCGGTTAGGGCGTCGGTGGTGATGCCGGAATTAGTGGACGCCATTAAGGCTTAATCTAGCAGAGGTGTAGTAATCGCTCGCAAATCGATGATTGAGATAATTTTGCTTGGCAGTGAGTGGGAGCCTAGAAGGAAGACTATGAACTGAAGTGTTGGTATTGATTGTTGAGCGAGAAATGCTCAAGGCGGACACCCGGAGGCTCTGCGTGAGACTGGTTCCGGTCGACCAATCAGCGACCCGGTGATTCCCGCTGCTGCTTTTCGCGCCGGCTCGAAACTTCAATTCAACCTCTCCGTTTGGTAGTACCTCGCTCGTCTGCAACTGGCTTTGCTCGTCGTCCTGTTTTTCTCGCCCTCCTCTCATCCAAGTCATTCAAAGTCACAATGGCCGGTGCTGTAAGTACTGCTGAAGTTGTATTGTGAATGCTGAATGTGCAGTTGGCTAACTCCGGTCCCTCGGTCACAGATCGCTTCCGCTATCTACCAGCATGTCTCCCTGCCTATACCTGACACTTGACGACGACTTTCGAGCATCGCTAACCTAGCCTATTTTTTGCGATTGACAGGGGCCTGATCCGCAGAAACGCGGTATACCTGACCACCATCTTTGCCGGTGCCTTCGCTTTCGAGATGTACGTTTGAAACCCGATCGGACCCGAAGGGACACAGCCGTTGACAATGCTATCCGAATAGGGCCTTTGACACTGCTTCCAACAAGATCTGGGATACCATGAACCGCGGTGTACGTTGCCTTCGTCGATACCTGTCCCTTTCTGAGATTCTGGCGGAATGTTTGACTGATGATATACTGGTTACAGCGGCAATGGAAGGACATCAAGCACCGTTACATGAACAAGGAGGAGGAAGAAGAAGACTAGATTTGTGGATGCTCGCTAGAGGAATAGAGATGCAGCACCAATTCTCGTCAGATGCATCCTTGGGGGATGTTGCCTGACGCCTATGTTATATTACTGCTGAGTACAGGAGGGGAATTGTTGTTATTATTTTCAGCCCGATTGTATGCAATAGAATTTGGAAAAGCTGTAACCAACCATTCATCATCAATTGGTCGTATCCTTTTTCTTTAAAAAGTAGAAAGCTCTCTATCAGGTCCCCTTCTAGTGGGGAGAATGATGCGCGAATGGGGATTCAGTGGCGGCAAAAGACGTTCAGCGGTCACCCGCTGTTTGCGTGCTCCAACACAATCATAGCTGCTGCTGTTGCTCATCCACACACTGGGCTTTACTTCTTCCTGTCGTAGTATCTTTTTTGGCTGTCTCCATAGCTTTGATCTACTGGACTTACAGAGGAAGAGAGTTTGGAAGATTCTCATGATCTGAAGCTGTTTATTGGTGAGTTTGATCCGTACAGCTGTGTTCTATCAGGCTTACCAGAGCTCTTCACCCCGCCGAGGATCATATCTTCTCTCCTCCAATATTCTAATTCACCCGCCAACTAATACGTTTATTTTTTGTTTTGACTTTAGGTTTACGCTATCTCCAGATTTTCTTGTTCCCTTTATTGTCTGTTTGTCTGTCTGTATTAGCGACCTTCACGACGTCGACGCTTTCCTGCCAATATCTATCCATACGCAGTGGAACATTCGGAATCACCTGTCCCGCCGCCGCACGGAGCTTCGTCTCATCAAACCGACTATACGCAGTGTTGACTCCCGCTTTGGGGAGCTGAATGAGAGTTGGATCTACATTTATACCAAGCTGAATGATGCTCACGGAATGTGAGAGAAAACTTGGTGAAGGCCTCCTTCGGCTTCCCTTCGAACACGGTTGTCGTTATGGACCCGAGGCCGAGCGAGATCTGCTCGAGCTCCTCTTTCGTTCGCTAGTAGGCTTCGATGAAGACCGTTTACGGCAGCTCTTTCCGAACGGATTTCCGGAAGGACCATGGAAGCTAGCCGAAGCGCAAGGTGCTCAAGAAGGAGCGGAGTACACCGAAGCTGCGCGGGGAAAGCGATGCGGTCATATTTTCCGGGCCGGGGAGGCAACATATCGATGCGTTACCTGTGCCGTTGATGATACTTGCGTCCTGTGTAGTAAATGCTTCGACGCCTCCGACCACTCGGGCCATCAGTACCAGATTTCGCTATCGTCGGGTAACTGTGGTTGCTGCGACTGCGGCGACGATGAAGCCTGGCGGTACCCTTTGTTCTGCGCGATTCATACCGATCGCGGCGACACCAAGGGCAAGCAGCGCGCTCAGACTCACCTGCCCCCGGATTGGGCGGAAAATATCAGACTTACGATTTCCCGAGTGATGGACTATTTTTGCGATGTCATTTCGTGCTCTCCGGAACAGCTGAGATTACCCAAGACCGAGGATGGCATAAGACAGGATGAAGTAGCATCCCGGCTCAACGGAGATTGGTACGGTGGTGGAGATCAGGCGGAGGAAGAACCGGAATGGGCTTGTGCCCTCTGGAATGATGAGAAACATACTATTCGGGACGTAGCTAATCAGGTCGCTCGGGCTTGCCGGGAACGAATCCGCTTTGGTGAGAAAAAGGCCTACGAAACCAATGATATTGGGAGAACCGTGGTCAGACAATCCAAGGACTTGGCCCTACTGCTGAAGGTATCCCAAGTTCTCGAGCAGATCAAAGTTACCACTACAGTGCGATCTGCTCGCGATACATTCCGCGAGCAAATGTGCGGAACTATTGTTGAATGGCTTTCTGATATTGCGGGGTGCACCATACTGGAAGACGATCAGATTTTGCGGCTTGTAATCTGCGAAGAGCTTCTCAGTCCTTGGCGACAAGGCAGTGGTGCCTATAACGCCAGTATTGGATTGAAAGGCATCGATGACCACGCAAGGCAGGATCATTCGCCATACCACACGTTAATGCTGGCTGCCGTTGCCCCTCAAGCTCAAGTGATATTCGCGCCTGAGGCGGACATTGAAGATGACGAGGAAGATAATGGTAATGGTAATGACGAAGGAGAGGGCGACGACGACGAGGATCATGCCGAGACGCATGAAGATGCGGATGACGAGGACGAGGAGATGGAGATCGATTTGAACAGATTGCGAGAAGAGGTCGAGGATGATGAAGATATGGTCATGGGCAATGCTGATAACAACGTAACCTTCGAAATGGCGACTATCCTCGAGAATCTGCGTCAGAGGCGGATGGCATTGATGGATGAGCAGGAACGACGGGAACGGGAGGAATTGCAAGCGCAGCAAGAGCAGTCTCGAGCGCAGGACGCACAACAGGCTCAGCACGACATGCATCCGGCCGGTGACGAACACAGCGCTGACGACAGCGGTGAATGCGCTGATATCTCCACCGTTGCCATTCCTAAAACTCCCTCCGGGGTGGTCAAGCCCCCTCCAGCCAGGGCGCCTGGGTATTGGCTGGCTCGGCCCGCTGGCTTTTCGAGCAGGGAGAGCGTACCTGTCTACGAGGACTTTTATCAGCGTACGCGACTGGACTGGATGATTCTCTTCGATCTAAGATTGTGGAAGAAATCGCGCACTGATCTTCGCGATCTTTACATCGGCACCGTGGTCAGTGTTCCGCAATTCAAACGAATTTTGGGCCTGCGCATGTCGGCCCTCTACACCGCATTGGCGCAATTATACCTCATTGCCGATAGAGAACCAGATCACTCTATTGTGAACCTTTCTTTGCAGATCCTCACAACGCCGTCAATAACTGAAGAGATCGTGCGGCGTGGAAACTTTTTGACCAAAGTGATGGCTATCCTGTACACGTTCTTGACCACAAGACAGGTCGGCGAGGCATATGAGGTCAATCCGAACGCAACATTGGCGTTTGACGCAGGTACAGTGACCAACCGTCGCCTTTATCACTTCTTCCTGGATCTCCGTTACCTTTTGCAATCCGAGTATGTACAGCACCACGTTCGTACCGAGGAGCAATATCTTTCTCAATTCCTAGACCTTGTCAAGCTTTCCCAGGGTATCTGTCCGAATATCCGCGCAGTGGGGGAACATGTTGAGTACGAGCCAGACGCCTGGATAAGCGCTTCAATTCTGATGCGAGAAATCAACCGTCTCTGCCGCCAGTTCTGTGAAGCTTTCCGCAATCCTGAAGTCGATGGTGGAAACAACCTGTTTAGGGCAATCAGAATGGCTACTGTTTCGGCAATTGTTCACTCCGCCGGTTTGGAGCGCCAGCGATTCGAGCAGGCAGAGGTCAAAGAGTACGTCCGTTTCAAGCTGCTGCCGTGCTTTGATTTCGAGGTCGACCACACTGGCCAAATACCGCGTCA